GAATGGAAACCAAAGAACCGGATGGGAACCAAATGAGGATTGAATTTGAAGCAAATTGTTTGGGTTTTATTTGCCGTCAGGAGTGGAGACGCATCCATTCTGACACTGATACTTTGAAAACTCCCAAAATATCCAAGTTAGAAGGAGTTGATAGAAAATAGATGAAATTTATAAAACATAAATTTTCTAGGCTAAAAATCTTTTAAACGTTTGGTTTTGCATGATAATTGAGACCGAAATGTAAATTTTGATGAGTTATGCATGTAAAGAAAAATATTATAAAACTTCTTTTAGCACAAAATTTTGAAATAATATTGTTCTTATAAGTATTTTTCATTTTTGGAAACTCAAGCGTAAAAATCAAAACATTTCCTTTATCGTAAAATATCTTTGGACTTTGGTTTCACGATTATAAAAATTTTCTGATCAAAAAAATCATAGCGACATGTTTTCGTTGAGTCTTTGAACTTGAATATAAAAAGAAGAAGACAATGAACAAGGTTTTTTGTAGTCAAATTTGTAATTTTTGTAGTCAAATTCATATTTCTCTGAGGAAGAAATATTACAAAGTGGTGAGGAGTTTTATCGAAAGATAATTGAATATTTGAAAGTCTATTTGTAATTATTTCTCCACTGGCTAGTAAAATTTAGAACATTCATGTAAGCTTAACAGCCTAAAAGCAATTTGGGTAATTTTTGAAACTTTTATACTTTTTCCACTTTAATAGAGAATTTACAGGGGAAGCTCTCAATCTTGGGTCAAAATTGTGAAAAGAAAACATGATGGGTGGGCCCGGGCTCTGTGAATCCATTTTCTCTTTTCCATCCCATTCCCCTCATTCCCTTTTCACAAAACCACCTATACTCTACACGGTCAAATCATCGTTTTACTTGCGGGATTTTTAAGCACAAATTTATGTATCCATATTTCAAAACTAATCAAAACTAAAACCACTCGCAAAAAATTGATGCTAGCAATTGTATTTTGTATATACAGTAGCGGATTTTAGCATATTTTTGTCTTACCGAAACTTTGTTGCAATTTAAGCCATCAAACCAAAATTTGCCCTGAAAAAAATCTTCTGGAATTAGTATTTTACCAACTAAAAAATCCTCACATAATTTAGTCAACTTAGGTTTCAAACTTGAGCCACTTTCTTCCTAAGGCTTAAGGTCAATAAAATCAGAGGAAAAGGAAAAATTGTCATTGTTGAGTGGATTAAATGAATGGAGGATGCCCATAGTGGTTATCATGTCGTTGTTTGTCCGTTCTCATCTCTCTTGTTAACAAATAACAAAGTAAGCTTCGGCAACAGCCTAAAAGCAATTTGCCTGACTCGAGCCGACTTTTCCCCACATTTAATGGGTAGAACAAACTGTAGATGTAGAATAGAAGCAGTTGAACAAAGCAATCGGAACAGACTGTAGCTGTAGAATAGAAGCAATAGAAAAAGCAATCGAAAAAAGCAATTGAACAAAGGAATTGAACAAAGCAAGCTAAAAAGCTTTTTCTGCCGTGTTTTGATTGCCCACCTGTGCAGCTAACAAAGAAATTTCAGAAAATATCAAAGCTTCTAAATGGAGTAAGGATGAATGGCGGAGTGTCAAAAGTGGCCCAAGAAAAGCTGAGAAAAGGAAACGAACGGAGAAAATTGAGTGCAAATACTCTCTAGAAGTAGTAGAATGAAAGAAAACAGAAAGTAGCCGGAATAAAAAATGATTTTTTGATCGATAAGAATTCTCTTAAATGCATATGCAAATTTCGGAAATAGTTTATTCTTTGTGTTCATGATTTGTGTTATTCAAGTATTGTTGTTTTAGCAATAAAAAGTTGTAAAGATTTTGATAAATTGCTTTTTCAAGTTCGTACTTGTCGCTATTAAAATTTTAAAATTAGTGCAAAAAACGTGTTTTCTTGTGGCTTTCTTGTGGCTCTCAGACCATCTCGAGCTAGCTCAACAATTAGACTATCTCGTAAATCAGCAATAGATTCAGCAATAAATTTAGCAATACAATGAGCATTTAAATCTAATTTAAATTACAACTTTTAGATCCATACCTTTCTGTTGCTATATTCTTGATGTCCGTTTTGGTGAAGTGTGCCATTTGACGATGACGGACCGGCCTGCATTTTAGAAGTAACAGTGCAAAGAGAATGGGGAAATTTTCATGCTTAAAAGTTTGTAGTACTACAAAGTTTGTCCTGGTCCTGGTATCCTGGTACAGTGCATGTGATCCTTTCGTCTTTCGCCTAAATAGTCGAACTTTGACTGTGATTTTCACCATGTTTTTATGTTATGTTTTTATGTTTTTAAAGTTTACTAAGTATTTTGTGTCTATAACCAAATTTCATAAGGCACATTTTAAGAGCGATCAAGTTGTTCATAAAATTGTCGAAATTATGAACAAGTCGCGCATGAGAATCTGAGTGATCATGAGAATGATCATCAAGTGAGCTTTTTCTCTCTTTTTTCTCCCTTTTCTCCTTTCTCTTCTTTTCTCTTTTCCACAAATTTGTAGCAATTGGCGGGTTTCCAGACAAAAGAATTGAATTTATATAAATGATAACGGTTAATTTATAACTTGAAAACGTTTTCCGATCGTCATCTTGTAATAAACTTAGCTGCTTTATCGACTTTGCTAAAGAGTGACTCAGCCAGTAGATGCTACAGTAACCATAACTGTACTACCACTATCGTAATCCGTAACCAAGTTACGCGGTTACTACCTTGCAGTACCAAATATTTTCCACCGTAGTCATCGAGATTACTGTAAGCTTGACTAGCTGGTATGATATCACAGCTGGATCTGATCACATTCTCTCAATCGTCTAGATTTAGACCGGCTTACGATATTCCATCGAATTCTGTATAGTACAGTCATTTGCTGTTAGATTTGTGTAACTGTGTATTCGGTTATCTTTGAGAAATTGAAAGTTTTATTTCACAAAAGCCATGTCTATATACAGTGTTGTGAAATAAAGCAGAGAATCGAATGGATGAATGGATTGGGGAAGGAGGGAAGGGAAGCGAAGAGAGGGAAGACGAGGGAAGATGAGGGAAGAGGAAGATAGGGAAGAGGAGCGAAGGGAAGGGATGAGACAAGCGAGTGCCTATATAGAATTCAGAATTAGGGAACGGGGGTGAATGCTAATCAATTGGGACGTTTAGACCGGCAGACAAACGAATGAAATATCATTGCATGAATATGATTGCAGACTTTGCCTGTCTCTCCGCCCGGCCTCATCGTCTCTTTCACACAAAGCAATTTTAATAGAAACATTTTTTTTCCATAAATATACAGAATCATCAATTTTAGGGTGACTTTGATTGTGATCTAGATAATTTATGAAATAAAAGCAATACTTGTAAACTATATTATGAGTTTACAGTTTGCAATCAGTGCCAAACGCGTTAGATGGAGAATCTTTCTATAGCTCTTCTTTCTATAGCACTTAGAATCTTTCTATAGCTGTAAATTTGCCTTCAGCTTCATTTTGTGCTCGTAAACGCACCACTTCTCGTGCACTAGTTTTCTTGCGAAAACGAGCTGTTTATAGAACAAAAAAAACAAAGAAGAATTCGATGTGCCAGAAGGTGTACGTTTGCAATTTTCGAAAGAGTAATGTCGAAATCCCAAATCACCCTCACATTTGATGAATAAAACAAATAAAACATAGTAAACAAAACAAAAAAATTGCATTTAAAATCCCAAAAAATAAAAAAAAATGAAAAAATGAAAAGAAAATGAAAAGAAACTCGAAAAAGAAACATATGCGCCTATTAGAAATTTCTCAGCTTTTTTTTAATGTATCAGAAAAGAAATTTTTGTATAAAAGGAATAATTTACGAATCGAATAGTAAAACGAAATTTGAAATAGAACAGCAAATTCACGGGATAGAATGTACACGGCTTTGTTGTTCTTGCTTTTGATCATGAGGAATTGATTCGAAGGGGATTTATCGAAAAAGGAATTTCGGAAATACACACACTGGGAATCGACGGACAGGCCACAAATAGCATATCATGTGTAGTTGATAGCGAAATTATAAGTATAACGAAAATTGATTGGTGATTGGATGGATTAGGCCAGCTTAGGTCAAACAGATCAGGATTACGGCAGACTAGGCTGGAGGCAGACCAGGCTGCTGGAGCCAGACTAGGCTGGAGCTAGACTAGGCTGCTGGAGCCTGACTAGGCTGGAGCTAGACTAGGCTGCTGGAGCCAGACTAGGCTACTGGAGCCTGACTAGGCTGGAGCTAGACTAGGCTGCTGGAGCTAGACTAGGCCGGAGCCAAACTAGGCTGCTGGAGCCAGACTAGGCTACTGGAGCCAGGCTAGGCTGCTGGAGCTAGACTAGGCTGCTGGAGCTAGACTAGGCTGCTGGAGCCTGACTAGGCTGGAGCTAGACTAGACTCCAATGCTTCGATGGAGCCAGACTAGCCTCCAATGCTTCAATGGAGTTAGACTAAAATCCTAGGCTAAGCCAGGCTTGAATTAAACATCTGTTAACTTGTATGGAAATTTGAGATATCCAATGATAGATGTGAGGATGATTTTCCAATCGACCTAGAGTTACCAATCAAATCAAATGAACCAAAATAATGACAAAAAGAAATTTAAAAAGAAATAAAATCGTTCCTGTTGATTGTGGACCCGAGAGAGAATGGTGGGAGAAAGGGAAGAAATGGCTCAATCGGTGGGAAAACAACCCGAGTTCGGGTCCCTGAATGAGTCTGAGTCTTTTAAACTGAATGCTGAGCCATTCCATATCCCGTTTCTTCACGTTGTCGAGATTTTCTTCGACACAAGTTGTACGCATTTCAATGGGTTTCACCTTTAAAAAAGGGAAACACACCGGATTTACAAAGGGGGGTTTTTCGGTGATCAAATAGAAACGATATGAAGAAAGAAACGAAAATGGTTTACAAATATTTGAATGAAACTGGATACACATATGTACAAGTCGTTTGTTGTATATTTGAATAGCGAGTTCTTTATGAATAATCCATATTGTGATTGGCGTGCATCGGTTGGGTGTTCCCGTCGGGGCTGAAAATCGAAGAATTGAGACTTTGCGGGGAAAATTGAAATATTAGATATCCTCTAAATATCCGAAATCTTCTAAATAGCTTGACAAATGCTCCCCAAGTGGCCTGGAAACAACTTCTAAACATACTGTATAAACATACAAGAAATATTCAGCTACAGTATTTCGGACTACAGTACTCAAAGTTTACAATATTCCTAGCTATGGTATTCTTGGACTGTTGTGCTCTAGGGTTACAGTATCCTTGAGCTACAGTACTCTTGGGCTACAGTATCCTTGGACTTAAACGCTATTGACTGTATAGCCTATGGTAAGTGCCCGTTGAAGCTTCAGCATAATCTAAACAAGGCTTAATCAAGATTTTCGACTTCTAGGGAGCAAGTATCGTACATATTTCTATATTGGATACAATATATCCCATTTTCTTTTCATGATACCTGAAATTCGATGGATCCCACGAGATATCGGGGCTCATCTGACTGGCGGCAAGGTTTGGCCACGGGCTACCGGCTTGTGACATCAACGGGTCCGAATGGAGGAGTGGATTGTTCTGTATGCAGAGCAATTTAGATATTTCATATTTAAATCAGAATTTAGATATTAGGATTAGATTTAAATAGAATGATATATTGTTTTTATCTATTATCTCAATTCTACCTCAAGACACGACTCCATGATCAAATCGGGGAATGGCCTGTGGTGCATCCCTCTGTGGTGGTCGGGGCGGTATCTGCAAATGTTAGAGCTATTGAGAAATACAAGTAGAAACTAGATATTGAATACTTGCTGACTATAAACTAAATAACTAATTGTAAGCTATTGAATGATTGTTACAGTATCCCGCTAATAGAAAAGGCAAGTATTTGATACAGTAATCTTCTACTGTTTTTCAATAAGCTACTGTAGCTTCTACTTTGCTTCTACTTCTACTACTTTGCTTCTACTTCTACAATAAGCTACTGTAGCTTTTACTTTGCAACCAAATTCCACCACTTTCTGCTTCTATTCGACACTAACTTTATCTGAATACTGCAAACAATGAATAGAATATAATTAGACAAGGTTTTGTTTGATATATTTATAACTTCTCTACCTCCATTGTGGCGTCTGATAATCTTGTGGACTTGAGCCAAAGAATTGATCGGATCCATAATGGATCCGTCCTAGCGGCGAGGCGATCGCAGCCGTCGTGTCAGAGAGTTGTGACATAAAACCCGATGAGGACTAAAAAAATAGAGAATAAGAGCAAAATAAAGATAAATTTAGGGTCCTAGTACTAGTTTCCGAAAAGAATTGCTGATTTTTTTAGTACCCAATCGGGAGCCGATTGATTGTGAGTCTTCTCGAGGGGAGACAAGAGAAGAGTTGAGCGATCGCTTACAAGTGATCCGCATGGTGTTTGATTTCGACTCTCTTCGATCTCCTGTTTGATTGGTCGAGGAGCGGAGGGGATGGCTGGGAGTGGAGGAAGCGCTTTGGTGGGCGCGTTGAGGCCATTTTTCGCCAAGATCTCCTCGAGTTCCTAGAATTGAGTGCATGGAATCTATCTTTATTTTATCTATCTTTATTTACTCGCTTAGTAGAATGGTTTAACGAGTATCTACACTACACACGACATCAATTTAACATTTATATCTACACTACTGGACAATGAAATCTCATGTTTTAGAAAAAGATCGTCACTTTCACGCGTATGTAACTCCCTTGTCTTTACCGTATTTCTAAATATTAATATTATCATTGTGTAGCCCTTGAAAAGAGCTTTCAGAAAATGTGTAACACTAATAGTTTAAACTCAAAGACAAGGGAGTTACAGACGCGCGAAAGTGACGATCATTTTTCAAATATGATATTTCATTGTCCAGCACTGTAGCTGAAGAAGCATTGAATTGAATAGTGAAGCCAAGCCAAGCCAAGCCAAGCCAAGCCAAGCCAAGCCAAGCCATTTCCCTCACTCACCCTGACTCGATCGGCGTAGTGTTTCGCAGCGTTTTCCAATTTGTTTTGTTGTTGCTGTTGTTTAATCATGCTCTGAAAGCTCTTCTTTGCATAGAAGTTTTTTTCTTTTCACTTACATCTCGATCCTTTTGCAATTGTCGAATGTAGTCACAAGATGCTTTGAGAATCGTCCCTTGGTTTAACTTCATCTCTCTAAATTCGGCTCTAAAGAGAAAATGCCTGATAACGGGAAGTAAATATTTAGTGGCATTTTCTTGAAATTAGATTTCAACTCACTCGGAGGCTCCTTTAGGCAGCATAACTCCTAATTCTTTGATTCGGTCGTTGATATTATAGCGACGACGGCGTTCAACTGAAAAACCTAGCTAATAAAAACTTCTGATTTCATTGATAATTATGAATGAAATGAACTCACTCATATTGTGAATGTCCTTCTTTCTGCGATCGCGGTAGTGTTCCGGATCATCGGCACTGGGAACGGGTCCTTGCGACGAGCCACGTACCTGCAAACAATAATAATCATTTAGACATATCAGATACCTATATATCAGAGACCTATTATATCCACAGCTTACTATTATATCATAAAGTTTACCAATTGATCCATATCCGATGAGGAGGGAGCTGACGAGGAGACGACGTGGCGGAATTGCATCGCGCCTGGGATTCCCATTCCGACGGGTGAGCCTGAGTGGCCTGAACCACCTAAATGGTTTTTTTTAAGTTCTTACAGTTTCAACTCAAATTCATAATCCCTTTTGCTCTTGGCATTAGACAAGTTTTTAGCTGAATATCTTTTAAAATTGCGTGCGAAAAATCAAGACAGAAAAAGGAGTCTTCTAGTTGTCTTCTAGCTGTCTTCAAGTTGTCTTCTAGCTGTCTTCTAGCTGTCTTCTAGCTTAAACCTTTTTAAAAAATTAAGATATTCAGTTGTAGTCTTGAAAATTTTATTTTATTTTGTTCAAATTTTATTTTATTTTTTATTTAAACTTTGTTTCCAGTAGCCTTTTAAAAATGAGCTTTCCTACCAATCATGGATAGCCATGAGGCGTTTTTTTTTCGTTTTTCGGAAAGATGTGCCGGTTTTTGTATATAAAAAAGTGAAATTTGAGATCTCCTGATAATGAAAAGAGAAAAGAAAAGAGAGCTTTTATGAGATAAAAAAGAGAAAATGATTCGATCGATCCGTTCTCTTTTGATGGATTCGATTCGATCAGCTGATTGACTCAACTTCTTGAAAAGGGAAGGCGATCATTCAACAATGAAATTATTTCAAGAAAATCAACGTTTTCTAGATTCTTAGACTAGTTAAAGTTGAAAAGATTTAAAAATTTGATTAGCTAAGCCAAGCCAGCCAGCCAAGCCAGCCAGCCAAGCCAGCCAGCCAAGCCAGCCAGCCAAGCCAGGCAGCCAAGCCAGCCAGCCAAGCCAGCCAGCCAAGCCAGCCAGCCAAGCCAGCCAGCCAGACCACCTCCTGCCTTGGTTTCATTGTCTTTCGTTTGTCTTTCGTCTTTTATTGTCAAAAGCTATTTGTTTATGATAATGAGTAAATAGATAGCAATAATAAGCAATTCCTAATCCATTACTAACCTTCTTTACTCCAGTCTAACATCGGCTCGAAAAATTTGAAGTTTGAAAATCATCGAATACTAGGAACGGGAAAAGAAACGAAGAACAAAAGGTTTGAAGGTAATGAAATGGCAAAGAAGGGTGATTGTGACGAGAAACGAGCGGGATATCTGACCATCACATGACTTTCTCTTATAAACAGGTTTCCCCCAACAAATAAATAAGGGCAGAGAAGGGGCAATACACCACACAAAGTTCATCCCCGAGAGAGGAGACAGACACTCCCAGTCGGAATTGGACCATAGAATCATTCTACTCGATTCAAACCTGGATTTATGCAAAAGTACAAAAGGATTGCTAATTGTATGAAGTGTCTGGCTGGCAGCCAAACCAATGCTTTCTCTAGACATTTCAGATCATGAAAACAGCGCCGGTTTGAGCGAACTTTCCCCTCTTTTTGTGTCCCTTGACCCCTTTCCGACACGTCATTGTTTTGTCTCGTTTACCTGCCTACCTCGTCCCCAATTGCCCTATTTGATTCGTAAAAACAAATCAATCTTGAACACCTCACCTGAAGAGTTGTTTCCGGGAATCGGTCTTCCTTGCGAGAAGAGATTCGTCAAATTGTCTGCACAAGAGTACGGGGCGGTCAGCTGGAAATTGAGAGGATAAAACATGTAAATATTCAGCCATAGTCGTTGAATCAGTTAGCTGTGTTGGCTAGAAAAGCGAGTGATTTTCGTGGAACGCAAAGGAAAACTAAAAACGCGATCTGATGGATACAATACCGTTAAATTACTGTAGCATCTAAGAACTGGAGTTCAGTCACCGTACTGTAAGATTAACGATAGTACTTGGGGTTACTCTAGCTACTAAATAGCATCAATCGCTCAGTATCAAAGCTTACATTCGTCTAACTTTTCTCACGTCATAGAGTCAGATCTGAAATCATTGTAACTAGAGCTTAACTATAGTACAGTGTAAGATTACTATAGATTACTTTAGCCCTAGCTTAGCATCACGAAGCTTATTAGTAGCCTACATCTCAGGACAACTTAAGACACTTTATCAACATCTCAGCTACAGTAAGATAAGTAAGAAGACAGAATCTTGGAACTAAATCCCCATTCATCTATTTTACCCAAATAAAATCTAGCCTCATTTCATGATAATTTTTCTTACAGTTCATCTCCCGTATTACTACTCTATCTGTTCAGCTACAGCAATAGTACTACACGATAAAGTACAGTCTACAGTTCAGCTACAGCTATATGTACTACTCTACCTAAAAATGCGTCTTTTGTATCAAAAAACAGCTGAAATTCAGGGCTACTTTTTGATATCGAAATCCAATGGAAAACTATAATTAGAAATCGAAACTATATTTAGATATGGTCTATCTCACAAAATATGGTGGTCTATCTCTCAAAATATATCTATAATCAGGACAATTCTGTTTGATCTTAGTATGTGTAATAATCACTCCTCGCCAACCTCTTTTCAACACAACTTTTCACAAAGCAACATAGATTGAAGAAAGAGAATATCTGCCTACCGGTGTTTGGTGTGGTTTGCTGCCCCGAGTGCGCTGCTCGTCCTCCAACGAGAGGATCTCATCAATCAGATATTCATCCAGTAACTAAATGACCCGGCTTTATGAAAATATTGAAATCATATGAGAGGCTTTTCTGTTATATTTTGCAAGATTCTAAACTAATTCTAACTAAACAAGAGTCTAGATAAACTAGAGATTGGAGAAAGAAAATGGAGAAAGAATTGGAAAGTACGCGTGATAGAGAATAGGAGAGCCCGCGAAAAACAGCTGCCTTCTCTTTCGATGAGAGATCCACACAAACTAGACGTAAACAAGGCGATTTGGTAAAAGTTTGGATTTCATTTATGGAGATACACATAAGCTTTTCGAAAGGAGACTTGTTTTAGGAAACAATTAGGAGCTTGTGTTCCCTATATTGTTTTCTAAATGATGCGCTTTGGCATAAGTTATCGTACTGGGATTTATTTGTAAATAAAATCAATTCAAATCACCACAAAGCTCAGGTCAATAAATAGCTAATTGAAGGCTTAAAGAAAAGGATGGGTTCATTTACAAAAAAAAACATTTACAGGGATATAACAGAAAAATGAGATCAAAGGTATCAAAGCAGGGCTGGTTCTAGGACGAAACTTTCGACTGGCTTATAGGCTTTCGACAATGGCTTTCGACAATGGCTTAAGGAACAGCCCTGAATCTAGGAAAACCTACTTCAAATAGCATTTTCTATAAAGGAAAACAATTCAATCTGTTGAGGTAGTTGTTTGAGTCTGAGCTTAGAGCTGGGGTGGTGGGGTGAAAAGGGGGAGGGGCAGGGGTGAAGTTTCGAGAGGAAGAGAGATCTTCGACGCTGCGGCCAGCTGACGAAAAGGGAGCAAAAGACTTGGCTTGACATTGGCAGAGGGCAGACTAGAAAAGAAAATGGAGAAAGAATTGGATACGCGTGATAGAGAATAGGAGAGCCCGCGAAAAACAGCTGCCTTCTCTTTCGATGAGAGATCCACACAAACTAGACGTAAACAAGGCGATTTTTTAGGAAGAATAGATCGTGCTATTATTTTATGTATCAACAAAACACATTGACTAATCAAAACTCAATCAAAGCTCAAAACTCAAAGATAATGTCTCTTTTTGATCAATTATTTGGTAAAAGTTTGGATTTCATCAAGGGGGTACACATAAATAAAAGGGTAAAGTTTATGAAACAGCTGATCGCTTTGTGAAACAGCTTTTCTCTTTAAAGCTGAAACAGCTTTTCTCTTTCAAATTTCTCTCTAACATACTTCCAATGAACCCAACAACTCAGAAAGAAAAAATCTTAAACCAAAATTTCTGTCAAAATCTTCCAAAAATCAAAATTTTCATGCTCTTCTCGTGCTTATCTGAGCAATCAAATTACATAAAAAAGAAGAGGAAAAACAAGAATTGTGTTTAAGGGGAAAAGAAAATCGGATCGATAATTAAAAAATTGTTTTTTTAAAAGAAGATGTTGAGGAATTGTGTTGTAAATTAATTTCTTACTTCACTTTGGTTGAAACTTCGAGGCGAGTCGCCGTATCGTTGGATTTCGGGTGACTCCATCGATGGGGATTCACGATGATTCTGGAAAGTCGACATTTGTTTTGAATTTATTTGAATAATTGCTAAGGATTAGATTCAAGCAGGATTGCTTTTCCAGGTTCTGCCCTGGTTCGCCCTGGTTTGAATCGTTTGGTGGGAGTGGAGAGGAGTCTCCTCCATCCGCCGATCACTCCCCCGTCCCTGCCAATCCCCGGTACAGAATTTTTAAGATAATCGGTTCAATTCCAATGAATGTACCTGTATAATGACCATTGTTGGCCGTTTCCCATTGACAATCTTTCTGAAAAGCACGGTTCTTGGCGGGGTTGATGATAGGGAATTCGGGATTGATGTGGATGATGTTGAGGTAGGCGATGAAGAAATGGATGTGGAGGTGCGCTTGATTGGTCTTCGCTCGAAATGGAGAGTCATCAGTGGGTGAGTATCGTTTGGTGGGAGTGGAGAGGAGTCTCCTCCATCCGCCGATCACTCCCCCACCGTCCCTGCCAATCCCCGATCGACTCCTTGTGGCCATCATCGACCTTTCCCCGGCCGTCCCTGTCATTACCGAGGGTTCCGTTGTGGCTTCAAAAGTTGAATGCTTAGAAAAAAATGAAGGAAAGCAAATGATAATGGCTTTGAAAAATGAAGGAAAGCAGATGATAATGGCTTTGAAAAATGAGATTTCAAAAGAAATCAAGTGGAAAAGCTTTGAACCGGCTTTTGTTTGAACGGCAGTTCAAGAATAGCAGTTCAAGCGATCAGAACTAACGAAACTTTCAAAATACCATAAGAATTGGGTAAAGGAAAGAGATTGACGGGTCTTTTTCCTATCCATTTTCCACTCGTTATTAGATTTCCAAGTTTTTTTCACACAGGTGTCAACTGAGACTCGATGGCACGAATTCGAGACATGGAATTGAAGGGGAATGAATGAGCTTTGGATTGGGAGATTGGCTTTGAAATGATAAATAAAAGTCAAAGTAGCTTTTTTTTCTTATTCATGTCATTCTCGAGATCGCTTTTGAAATGATGCAAAGATATGGAAGAAGAAATGAAATGTAAATATCATTGCAATGATACGGTACAATGTAATGATATTTATCTTTATGGATATGGATTGAATGTTTGAGATAAAGTAGGCTAGTCAAATTTGAAGCTATGACATGTGACAAATGACACCAAATGAGATGTCACAAGTGGCCAAATGACACCAAATGACGCCAAATGACACCCAATGACGGGGTAGGCTAGTTTCCGCAACTTTTTTTGCGCAACAGGGTCATCTGCCCAACTGGATCGTTTGCGCAACTCACCATAACTTTCTTTTAAGTGGGCTAATCTTTATGATTTTGATTTCATTTTGTTGCACTTATTGAGACCTACCCCAAATGACACCAAATGACATCAAATGGCACCAAATGACACCAAATGACACCAAATGACATCAAATGACACCAAATGACCCCAAATGACGCCAAATGACACCAAATGACACCAAATGGCCAAAAACGTTGTGCACATGATAGCAGATTTACAAAGTGTTTATATCGTAAATCAAATTTGAAATCAATCAACCAAAATGGAGAAATTTTTCCTGTAAGTAAACTATTCGATATATAGATTGAATGTGTTGCTTTGCTTTTTGTTGCACTTATTGAGATCTAAACAAAAATGAAAAAAATCAAAACTAGATTTTATTAAAAAAGATGATTCCAATGCTCAATAGTTTGAAAAAGAAAAAACAAAAGTAAAAATTTGATGTGCGTGGCAAAATTTGAAATGCTCGTTCATTTTTTTTCCGCTCCCCATTTTTTTATGTACACATAAACAGGGAAAAAGGGGAAATCATCGTTTTGAGAATTTTTGTTTTTATCATCGATTGACGAATATTTGAAATGGGTAAGCAAAATGCTGGAAAGTGGGGTTTATTGGAGAAATGAATCGAAAGATTAGAAAATGGCTTAAAAGTTAAAACGTAAAATTACTGGGGAAACGTAGATTAGGGAAAGAGGAAACGATATTCAATATATAGATATATTGAATATTTAAACATTTAAATCTATAGAATATCTAAAATCTGAATATGGGTTTTTCTTGCAAAACGGATGTGTGTAAAATCGACTTTTTATCGGAGAAAAGAATCGTCGAATGAATGGAAAAGAGATGGGGGAAATGATCAGATAAACGTTCCAATGGCACGATGAAGGAAGGGAAAGGAAAGAAAGAAAGGAAGGAAAGAAAGGAAGGAACGAAAGGAAAAAAAGGAAAGGAAAGAATGGAAAGGAAAGCAATGGAAAGGCTTTGAAGGAAGGGAAAGGAAAGAAAGGAAGGAACGAAAGAAAGGAAGGAACGAAAGGAAAAAAAGGAAAGGAAAGAATGGAAAGGAAAGCAATGGAAAGGCTTTCATTTGAAGGGAAAGGGGGAAGTTCAACAAGAAACCCTCTATTGAAGAGTGAAGGTGCAAGGGTGAAGAGAAAAGGAAAGGGTTGCGTGTCAGTCATTCTCGCAGTCAGAGACTGGTTTTTGCCAACCAATCTTGCCAGACAGCTTTTTTCCTTTTTTTCGTGAACGAACATTTAAATTCAACTATTGCGGTTAAATTGAACTATTGATATTGAACAAACCTATCATAAAGAACAAGAAGAGACCGTTAAATGTAAGTTTAGATAAGTTTAACAGGTATTATATCTTTAAACATTTCAAGTATTATATCTTTAAACATTTCAAATTCTGACTACTTTAGCAACTTCAGCAAATTGATTTCTTCAGATTTTATCTGAATTTGATCTACTTTGGTAGTAGAAAAAGCTCAGCAAAAAAAAAATTATTGCCTCGGCTTAAGCTAAAAAGAGAGGGGTAAAAGAAAAAAAAGCATCATTTTGTTGATGCAGACACAATCGGTCTGCTGGAATGGGAGGAAAGGGGAAAGGGGAAAGGAGGAAAAAGAGAAGAAAAAAAAGAAATAAAAAGAGCGAAACGAGGTGGGCTTCGGAGGGAGCTCATGGCCTTAGATTAAAAGAAACGGGAAAGAGAGTGGGTATTCGATCAGCTGGCTATGCTGTGAAAGAGCAAAGGGAGGAGAGAGGGTAGACAAGAACAAGGAAAAGCTCAAAAGATAGAAAAGAAAAAGTTTTCATCGAACTAACATCCTCAACTTTTTCTCTTTTTTTCGTTTTTGGTGGAAAGGTGGAAAGGAGGGGAAAAGAGAGACATTGCCTTTCGCTTTTTCCACTCTATTTTTTTGGCCTTTTTTCTTTTTTCTCTGATCTCTGATCGATTCGAGGTGGGGCTTCGGAAGGAGCTCATGGCCTTAGATTGAAAGAAACGGGAAAGAGAGTGAAAAATTGAAAACTTTTTTGACAAAACAATTTGGAATGGACAATTTTTTAAATAAAATCTAATAAGATTCATACTAGAAAACAAGTTATTATTCTTCTTTAGAAATGATATAAATTTAATGACATTTGTAAGCTAAGGACTCACGGCTCAAACCAGTTTCTTTCCAGATTTTTTGATAAACTTGAAGGGGCAATATTACAGTATTTACGGTATGAGAATCTATCCTAAGTTCTTATCTAGATTTCAAAATAGATAAGTTATTTTGAGAAATGATATCTCTGAAAAAGCACAGGACAAAAATTTTAATCGGAAAGCCAGGGGAAACGTTTACTTTTGGCACAGAGTGGAAAAACAAAGGAAATAGGAAAAACAAAGGAAAAAAGAAAGAAATACTGACAAGATCAAAACATGGATAGACTCGAGATTTGAGAAGAGAAAGGGGAATCTTCAGAGATTGTGTGGAATGGAATTTAGTTGTCTATTTGTCTATGACAAAAATTTCAAGAAAAACATATTGGTTTTTTGAATGATAAGAAGAATAAGAATGAATTGTTGTTAAGAAAGAATCAAAGACTACAAAGAGACAATATTCGTTTTGTTTTCCATTTCAATCCGAAAACAAAACACAGAAAACAATTGCTTCTTCAATGGGCAACCCGCTTTTCACCTTATTTACTTCGACTTCGATTGGGAAAAAGAAAAGAAGAAAAAAAGTTTTTAGTGTTTTGGCTCACTTTTATTTCGTTTGTACTTTTATTGATGTTTTATGGGACAAATAATTGAGGAAACTTTGAAAAAGGGACCGATTTATGAATTGAAGTCAATTGACTTTCAAATTTTTTTCGAGACCTTTCTTTCCAACCTATTAGTAGATAATGACGATAGTTTTGTTCAGAGTTTACACATTTAAAGAAAGAAGATTCAATAAAGAAGAACACAAAGTTACAATTGTTTTGAAATGACTTTTGAAAGTTGCATTTTTAGATTTGGCATAAAAGTTGTTGTTGAAAGAGAGGAAAAACTCGAATCATAGCAGGATACGGCAGTCTATATAAGGCTAATAAGTATAGATAGGTCTATGCTATCCATTCCATCATGTAATTGTGGAGTGTACTTTATGTTTTGCTGATCAAACTTAATCACATCGTTTTCCCATTGTTCCAAATGAATGCCCGAACTGAATGTATTGGATCTCCATCTCGAGAACTATCCTAGTGAATCAAAGACGTCTCTCCATCAGCTGATTTTCTATTAATCCCGTCCCCCTGAATTTCCGGTTCAATGTAGCGAACTTGCCTCTATTTTTTGCTTAATCTCAAATTTTTAATTTTTCTTCTAATTCTTCAAAATCCCCATTTTCCTCTCGGATTATAGTACCAAGAGAAATTAAAAATCAAAAATTGAAAAGAAAAGAACAAACAATGATTTTTGGCGTTTGGCCTCAGATGTTTTTGAGCTCATTTTCGGTAAATAATAAAAAAACGTTGGATCCTTGCCAGAGTTTCTTTTTTTGACATAATTCTTCTGTAAAAGAGAATGATAAAAGATTAGAAATATAGGACTTATGAATTGGAGGAACTTATCAATAGATTTATGAATACTATCAATATCAAATAGATCTATTAAATAAAGTTGTTTTTTTCTTTTGAACTTACTCATAAACTAGGCTCCGATCAAAGATCTCAAGACTTTAACTCAGATCTTTAGTTCGCTTTTTTGAAAAGAATGATTCAGAACGGAAAAAAGATCCGTGAGATTTCGTTTTCTAAGACTTTAATACTTTTTTAAAGAATTTTTCTATTTTCCAAGTTTTGCGTTGATTCTAAGCTCGCTGAAAAACAAAATTTCAGCAAAAAACAAAAAAAAACTTAAGAAAAAACGTTGTTCAAATCGAAATTTCGTATATTATACAAAGTTATGCAAATTTTCAAGTTTAAACAAACCTGATAGTGAAGTTTCCGAGGTTGCGCGAGAGCTTGCGCGTTTCCGCCGAGCATTGAGTGTTGAGCGGGAGCTGGGAAAAGCATTCGTCTCTTAATTTTGTCTCTTAATCTCTTTATCTCTACAAAATATTCATTAGCTACATTAGCTACCTAGATGTGCTCTCAAAAATTCGCAAAACTCAATTGTAATGATTCAACTTTTATCTCAAAAGATCGATGAGAATTGAGAGGGAAATGGAATGGGATGGAATGGCCAAAAAATGCAGTCCCTGAAATTGATTACAATCATCGAAATGGAGGGGAAGATCAAAGGTGGAAAGGAGGGGAAAAGAGAGACATTTCCTTTCGCCTTTTCCCCTCATTTTTTCGATGTCTGCCCACTCTATTTTCTTGGCCTTTTTTCTTTTTTTTTCTTTTTAACTGACCCCTCTCTTCTCTGATCGATTCGTTGAACGAAACGAATGAAATAAAGAAATGAAACCAAGGGAAATTACAATAAATGGCTTTCACCAGATCGCTTAGGAAAAGTTGATTAGGAAAGTTTATGTAATGATAGAGTTGAGTAGAATCGATGTTTAAAATTAGAAAAGATAATAAGGATCATTTGATTAATAAAAAAGTAAAGGAGTTGCCAGGAAAAAGTAGATTTAAGGTAAGTTTATATAGATTTAATTGCAATGAAGATCGCGTACAAAGTAGAGAAATTGTTCAGAAATTGGTAAACCCAACTTTCCCAGTTTTCTGGCAATTTTAGAGAAATTGTATGACAGAATAACTGACAGAATAACTGATAGAGTGTCTGACAGAATAACTGACAGAATACTGACAGAATAACTTGATTTGCCGTATACTTTTGCCGTATACTGACAGAATAACTTGATTTGCCGTATACTTTTGAAGTACCGCCCCCAAGTGTCCCCAAAAAGTTTCCCCAAAGTGTCTCCATATGGGAACTCTTTTTGATACTGAAATGCTTCGTTTTCCTTTTTGCTCTAGAGCTTTTTTAAAATGCTGTTACAGACGAAATCGTTTACCATATTAGATTTTCTCTTTGGGGACAGTTTGGGGAAACTTTTTGGGGACACTTGGGGGCGGTACTTCAAAAGTATAAATTGTTGAAATAATGTGTTTGCGGCCGACGAGACTGCTGTCTGGCTCGATCACTCATCGAACAAGTGCATTGATTCGATCGGAGCGAAAGAAGTTGAAGTGTCACAAGAGGTCCCATTTTCCACCGATTTTTAGATTTGGCATAAAAGTTGTTGTTGAAAGAGAGGAAAAACTCGAATCATAGCAGTCTATATAAGGCTAATAAGTATAGATAGGTCTCATTCAGCGCTATGCTCCATTCCATCATGTAATTGTGGAGTGTACTTTATGTTTTGCTGATCAAACTTATTCACATCGTTTCCCCCATTGTTCCAAGTGAATGCCCGAACTGAATGTATTGGATCACCATCTCGAGAACTATCCTAGTGAATCAAAGACGTCTTTCCATCAGCTGATTTTCTATTAATCCCCCTGAATTTCGGGTTCAATGTAGCGAACTTGCCTCTATTTTTTGCTTAATCTCAAATTTTTAATTTCTCTTCTATTTCTTCTATTTCTTCAAACTCTTCACATTTTCCACGTTTTTACATTCAATAGGGGTGAGGATGGGTCGACTTTCCCGCGCTTCCCCCCTTTCTCTTTCCCTCAACTTTACCCCCGATCCACGTTTTGTGCAAAGGTCCGAAAAATACGACCAAACAGTTTGTGTGCCATCGGATTGGGGAAAAAAAATGAGGGAAATGTTTTCCTTTCTCATTCTCTTTTCATTCATTCACTGTTTCCCCTCCCTTCCCTTTCCCTCGCTTCCCCTTCTTGCCCCATCCTTCCCCATCCTTCCCCGTCCTTCCCCTTCCTTCCACCGATTGCTCATCCCGATAAGCAGCCTTTCCATCCAATAGAAACTATTTTAAGAATTTGTCTTTCGAGGAAATTTTTGACGAAAGTCGATCAACCAAATATGAGTCGAATGTCTAATGAAAAGCTAAAAGCAGTCGAGAATTCGAGAATTCGGTTCAATTTTTTGAAATGGAGTCAGATGAGCTTAGACAGAAAAATCTGGAATTAGAATTCAAAATGGAGGCCTGTTGCGTTTAGTTTTGAAGAAAAAAAGAAAGTTTTGAAGAAAAAAAACTAAAAACTGAGTGGGGATTGGGGTGAAAAAACTGAGTGGGGATTGGGGTGAAAAAAAGGCTGAGAGGTGGTCCGGGGATCGATCGAGGGGAGAGGCTGCGACGCTCCTATCTGAATGTCCTCCCAGCTCCTTTTGCATTCATTTTCCGGTCTCATTTCCCCCTTCATTTCAGTTTTCTATTTATCTGAGATCTGCGGCTAGAGATGGGCAAAAAGGGGGTCAATATATAGCCCCTGCGGGTGATTTTCCCCTAAACATGAGTTTAAACGATCAAATGGGTTTATTTTTTGAAAATCTCTTAAGTAAGGGAAACGATTTGGGGAATATGGGTGGATTTCAATGAACTTTGATAATAAATATGAAAATTTTATTGCAATACATTGCAATATTTTGAAATTGTTGTTTCTGAGCGAGAAAATATAATTGCTGAAGAAAGTTTAGGGAATCAAGTCTATGAGAAAGATTTCTTCCAAATTGGATGGGAAAATCGAAACTCGTTCAGTGATGGATGAGGTTGAATGAAAGCTAACAGGAAAAGCAAGAAGAAAAGGCAATAAGCCAAAAAAGCTTTGAAACTTACAAGTGCCCTGCCCAGGGCAGTAAAACATTCGCCATAAAACATTCGCCTCATAAGGTTCATCATCGTAAAACATTGTAAAGAGACTTGACAGATCTTCAATCAAACAGATAATGAGATTAGGCTTTAATAGAGTAACTAGGTTAAGCCCAAAGTTTAGTACTATAGAATAAGAGTTGAACTGGCTCAAAGAATAGCAGTAGAAGCTGAAGATTGACAAGGCTGGGCTGATCAGATGCAGCTGGATTGAGCTACAGCGCCTGGATCTTCAATGAATATAATAGTACAAGTATAAGTTGTCAGAATCTTGTGAGAAAGTTTACAGGTTAAGGTTAAGTAGATTTGTAGATTTGATAGCAGAGGCTTGAAGAGGAATACTGTAGGATCTCTGTAGTGATTTAGGATCTCTGTAGTGACGTAGGATCTCCTCTGTAGTCACTTAGCGAAAGTATTCTGTCGTAGACAATTGGTAACAAAAAAAAAATAAATGTGTATCCTTAGATAAAAAGCACACAAGCAATGGGTGATGAGCAATGAACAAGTAGGCAAGGAGGTAAGAAGGCAAGAAGGCCGGAAGAAGACAAGAAAAAGTATCATTATAAAGATTACTGTATCTATAGAAGATCGACTCACCAGGTTGAACATCGGTGGTTGTAATGGTTGATGTTGGGGGTGAATGAGTGGTGGTGGAAGAGTGGGTAATGGTTGAGTACCACCGAGGAAACCCACTGGATTCCACATGGATGTTGGTGGAACAAATGCTGATGGTTGTGTCGTGCCGAGCATCACTTTCGATTTCTGCTCGATCCAAGTCGGATTGTGCTCGCGGATGGATTGGGTGCCCCGTTTTTGGAGGAATACGATGAAGGTAGTCAATCGATCGATGAATTGATCAAAGTATGGGGAAATACGACAAAGAAAACGGGTGAAACCTTGAGATAAAGTGATCCGAGTGGACGTGCGGAGAATGTGTGGAAAGAGGACGAAAAGGGGCAATGTCTGGGGTGAAGGGGAGCCCTTTCGCCGTCTGCTCTCTCTCGTTAGCCACCAATTACGAACTCCTTGCTTGATATCTCTACCACGTACAGACGTTCTCGCATCCCTCTGTGTGCTGCATCTTTCTCTCAAGCTATGGAATTTCTCAATTTCTTTACTCATTTTTCTCTCAAATTCCCGCAAAGTCTCAAATTCCCGCAAGGAGAGGGTTGGCTCTTCTTTTAGGCGGGACTTGGCTCTTCTTTTAGGCGAGAAAACCTCTCGGCGAAATGCCAAAACCGGATGACAAATACGTTCTTTTCGAGCATTTCCTCCATCTCTGAGTCTCTCTATTTTCTTTAATCTTTTCCAGTATTTTAAATATTTTCTCGTTGTTTTCGTGTCCTTGGAGACTAACGGGGCCAATCTTTTCTCCAGTTTTTCGCCTTTTTCTTGTTTTACTCTGAAAAACGTCTGCCTGAGCCGTTTGTTTACCATTTTTGGCCAATGGGTAAAAATTAAAAGTGAAAAGTAAAGAACTTTGTCCCCAAGAGGTGATCTAAATTTGGGATGACTGTCATTGAAGGGAATTTCGTTCTCTTGGGGAAATGTTGAAGTAAATTGATTAATGGTTTCCACCGCATCACGATGTTTTCCCAAATGTTTTGTGGTGCCAGAGCTCTTGGTTTTCCTTTGATTTTTGATCGAAAGGTGGTGAGAAATTTGGGGATAAATATGCGCTGAAAATAGGTTTTACTATGAAACGCAAGTCTGACAAGGGGATTCAAACTGGGCGTTTTGGGATAAGCTCTGTGCAAGCACCAATCAGATATAGACAATTCAAATATCTATCCACTTTTTGCTCAAATTAAAATCCTGGCGAGAAATTGCATTTGAAGTTTCGAAAAAAGTTGTTTGATTTTCGAAAACAAGCCAAGAAGCTCTTGTTTGTCAACAAACCCTAGCCAATAAGGTAGGTAGCCTAAAGGTAGTGTGCTGGGCTACAGAACTCATGCGACCTTTTGCGTTGGGTTCGAGTCCTCCCAACGATCAGCTATTCTTGAAAAACAGACATGCTATTACATTTTTACTTTTCCCTTCATTGTCTTCATTTTTCTGCACTTCGAGCTTTATCCTGAAACGTCAACCTTAATTTTGAATCATTTTTGAGCTCCAAAAAAAGAGAAATGTAAAATTTGGTATAGGAGAAATGGCAATCAAAATTCAAATTTTTGGCAATCAAAATTCAAAAATTTCAATTTAATTTTCCATTCTTTGTCGCGTGCTTTGAGTGTAAAGATGGTGCAAACACCCCCTTCTAGTGTATTCGGCTTTTCACTTTTTAATGCTCTAAAGTCACCCTGTTTGTACAAAGCCATATTCCGCCAAAGACAAGGTTAAAAAGCAATTTGTCGAGATTTTTTGTAAGTAGAGTCAATGATTGAAGATCGAGAAACGAAGCAAAAAAAAAGTGCAAAAAAATAATTGGCCTCATTTTTTGAAGTTTTTTTTATACTTTTTCAGAAAAATAAAAAAGATTACCGTACCCTGAAAACTGATTAGAGAGAGAGAAAAAAACAAAGTTCACCCTAGAGACAATGATTAGTGAAAGGAGTGGGAACATTTCAGAGAAATCTCTCAAATATTTCCGAGTGTTGGAGTGAAAGCGAAATTTTATGAACTGTTGAATCAAAACTGTTGAATTTCTTCGAAGAATGAGTCGGAAATTTGCTAATTTGCATCCCAGATGGGAAAAGAGTGAGGCTAGAAATGGCAAAGATTGAGCAAGCGACTCCGCTCGTTTACTCGGCTTACTCGGCGCCGCGTCACTTTTAAAAGTCTTTAGCTTGATTTTTGCTCGATATGGAACACAGCTTAAACATTTTGATACTTATTTTTTTAAATAAACAAAGATAAGATACTCTGGTGTTGTACTATAATTTAGTCAACTTAGGTTTCAAACTTGAGCCACTTTCTTCCTAAGGCTTAAGGTCAATAAAATCAGAGGAAAAGGAAAAATTGTCATTGTTGAGTGGATTAAATGAATGGAGGATGCCCATAGTGGTTATCATGTCGTTGTTTGTCCGTTCTCATCTCTCTTGTTAACAAATAACAAAGTAAGCTTCGGCAACAGCCTAAAAGCAATTTGCCTGACTCGAGCCGACTTTTCCCCACATTTAATGGGTAGAACAAACTGTAGATGTAGGATAGAAGCAGTTGAACAAAGCAATCGAAAAAAGCAATTGAACAAAGGAATTGAACAAAGCAAGCTAAAAAAGCTTTTTCTGCCGTGTTTTGATTGCCCACCTGTGCAGCTAACAAAGAAATTTCAGAAAATATCAAAGCTTCTAAATGGAGTAAGGATGAATGGCGGAGTGTCAAAAGTGGCCCAAGAAAAGCTGAGAAAAGGAAACGAACGGAGAAAATTGAGTGCAAATACTCTCTAGAAGTAGTAGGATGAAAGAAAACAGAAAAAATGACAGAATCCGCTTTTCTTGTCAATCTTCTCTCACTTCTCACTTTTTGAGGAGTGAAGGCAATAGACTTTTATTCAAAAGATCAAATCAAAAGTTTTCACAATTTACTTGACTAAATTTTCCATTAGTGACTAAATTAAAAAACGTCATTAGAATGAAAAAATCTTTTCAATTTGATTTATTTAAAACATGTCATTTTTCAGGCCGACCTCGAGTGGACCAACTTTCAAAAGTGAAGGCGGCGCTTTTTCGAGTAGTTGAAAATTTCAAGTAATTGAAGATTAAGTTGAATTTTAAATTGAAGCAATATCAATTTGAGAACGCTAAAAGCTGCTCTTCTAATTGTTCTTACAAGATTTTTAAACCCTTCTTTCCAGGAGCTCCCATTTCAGGAAGCCATCAAAATCACTCAAAAATTGGATCAATTTGTGGTTAGTTTTGGGAGAAAAATGCTTGTTAAAATGCTGAACCCTAAAACCCATATAAAGTGCCTTTTTTGAATGCGTAAACCGAAAGGAGCGATGAGAGACCGAAGCCCATTTTGGCGACCAAATTTTTAAATATAAAACCCGATGAGGATTAAAAATAAAGAAATTTCCACGTGATCACTTGTCCCTCTCAGCTCACGTTTTTGATCGTTTGAATCCGATTTTTTGTTTTAGGTTGTTATCAATCCAGCTTCCATATAAATATAAATAGTATTGGGACTGACGAGGATTTCGATCTGCCATCAGTTCACAGCTTCTAACACATACGTCTTCTCTCCTCTCTTGCTCTTCTCTTCGCCGTTCTCTCTTTTAAAGCTCCTTTATCCCTATTTAGCTTTTAGAAAGCTCCTTTAAAGCTCCTTCTTTATCGTCCTTATTTAGTTCCTAGCTCTAACTAGCTCTAACACAAGCAATGCGTCTGTTCTCCTCTTGTCTCGCTCTTCTCTTCGCCGTTCTTCTCGCCTTCAATGGGTTCAAGTTTAAATAAATTAATATTCTCAAAGTTTTATTCAATTAGCGCATTTCTCAGCCTATAAATCAACTTTGGCTTATTAGAAAGATGGCCCAAAGTGCCTCAAAGCTCAAAAGAAATCAAAGATTTTAGCTTGTTCTGCCATGGTGAACTCTGCTGTCGTCCCGGCGTGCGACTCCTCTTGTCCAGTGAGTTAAATTCTCAATCAAAAAATATTCTGACTGTTGCTACAAACACCGTTAAACAAGGCGGATAAAGGCTTAGTTTAAAAAATTAGTTTTGTCGTCACAATTTTCTCAATTCATTTAAAAAATATTTATTCTTAGAGTGTTGTCGTCGCTTGCTGCGTTTCAAAAGACTTTAATGGTGGTTTCTGCATCGGTGGAGCCGCCTTCTGCAACTGAAAACCAGAATATCTTTCGAATGTTGTGCGCAATCATTTTGTTTTCTTATATAAACTGAATCGTGGATTTTTGCTTTCCATCTTTCTTGCTATTTTGCTAATCTTGCTATTTTTCTATATCTTTCTACATCTTTCTATCTTTCTATCTTTCTAAATCTTGCTGTATTTCTATATCTTTTACATCTTTCTATATTTTTCTATATTTTTATGTCTTTCTATCTTTCTATATTTTTCTCTTTCTTTCTAGCTTTGTATATTTTCCATTTTTCTATATCTGGATCTTTTTACTTTCTATCTTTCTACTTTTTTCTATATTTTTCTATCGTTCTATATCTTTCTATATCTTTCTATATTTTTCTTGAAAGATTTGAATTTGTTTTGTTTGTTTGTTTTTGTTTTTGTTTGTTGTTTGAATTTGTTTTTTTCAAAGACAAATCCAAAAAGAGACACGTCAATCCAAGCACTTTTCCTTTCTCTAATCTTTTCCAAACGATTCTGCAATCGATTCTTTTCACTTAAAATTTCAGAGATTTCTTCGATTCGTCCAGGTCTCCGCCGCGATTCGATCGGTGATCGTCCAGTTCCGCTACTTCATCTCGAGGTAATCAAGCTTTTCTTATATTCATAAATTCCAGATTTTTCCTGTGATAAAGCATAAGATTCCGTTTCAGATGGGACAAGGATCTCGAGTCTGGAGGAATCGGGCAACAAGTGGTGCGTGCTTGTTGAATAAAAAAGAATAAGGAAAGGGCTGATCTTTAAAGGATCCTTTTCCATTTTGCAATGAAATGCTAGCCATTTGAGATTTACCGTTTGAGTTTACCAGCTTGTTTTTCAATTTTACTCAAAAAATATTTAATTTTTTTCTATGAAAAGCATCACGCAAATCGTTATTATGGTAGCTGATTAAACGACTATAAATCTTGCGAGGAATACGTTTCATGAAAACGCAGACTTAGCTAAAAATTAGT